CACAAAATGAGTCTGATGCCAAGCAGAAATTACAATAAGAAGCATTTTAGATCTGTGTTTACAAAACGCAGCAAGATATTTCCTATGCGTTCTTATGCAGAATAATGTGTTAACATGACCCCTAGTTTAACTTGCTATCTAAGTAAATGGCTGAATTAATAAGGTGACAGGGCATCATATTGTGTTAGCTTTCTGCCGTGTTTGAGAAGGAAAAGCACTTTGGATGCGTTATTTGTACAGCTGCCACTGCTATCTTGATTTCCAGACATGCTGCTGGGAGAGCCAGTACTGCAGCGTCAAAACTTTGTTCATTTGCACAATGTCTCTCGTTCACATTTGCTTGTAAATGTCCAAAATCACCAAAAATGACATTCAGTAACTCCTACATATATATGTATAACTTTATGAGCTGGATTGCCTGTCTTTGCAAATTGTTTATTTTATTTTGCGCTTGTTAGCATATTTAGCTAGCAGCCTCCATGGAAATGTGTTATTACTTGTGCAAAATGTGTTCACATTCTGGTAATAGACGGCCAATGTTTGTTTTTGCGTAATACCGTATATCCCGGGATGAGAAAAAGACGGTATGAAGATACGAAAATCTGGATACCGGCCTACCCTAGACCATACTATTTACCAAGATAGTTTTTATCTATATATTTTTTTAGCTGTCTACAGTATTTACCACCACACTAAGACCACACTCAATGAGCTGTATAGGGACATAAGCAAACAAGAAAATTCTCATCCAGAGGCTGCGCTCCTAGTGGCCGGTAATTTTAATGAAGGGAAACTGTAATCCGTCTCCCCTAATTTTCTACCAGCATGACACCTGTGCAACTAGAGGCGAAAAAACTCTAGATCACCTTTACTCCACACACAGAAATGCGTACAAAGCTCACCTTAGCCCTCCATTTGGCAAATCTGACCATAACTCTATCTTCCTGATTAAAGCAGATTGCTTTTGAATAATCTGTCCATATAACATTCTTCCAAGAGTCTTGATGATCATCCAGGTGCTTTCAGGTGCTTTTTGGCAAACTTGAGTAAATTTTTTGGACGACATAGGTCCCATTATACTTGGCGAAAACCAAACACTGCATTCCACAGTAAGAACCTCATACCAACGGTCAAGCATGGTGATGGTAGTGTGATGGTTTGCAGAACCTGGACGACTTGCCTTAATAAAAGGAACCATGAATTCTGCTCTGTATCAGAGAATTCTACAGGAGAATGTCAGGACATCCGTCTGTGAGCTGAAGCTGAAGTGCAGCTGGGTCATGCAGCAAGACAAAGATCCAAAACACACAATCAAGTCGACATGAAAAGCAACAAATTAGAAGTTTTGGAATGGCCTAGTCAAAGTCCAGACCAAATCCCAATTGAGATGTTGTGGCAGGACTTGAAACGAGCAGTTCATGCTTGAAAACCCACAAATGTCGCTGAGTTAAAGCAGTTCTGCATGCAAGAGTGGGCCACAATTCCTCCACAGCGTGTGAGAGACTGATCAACAACTACAGGAAGCATTTGGTTGCAGTCATTGCAGCTAAAGGAGGCACAACCTGTTATTGAGTGTAAGGGAGCAATTACTTTTTCACACATGAGAAATGGTTGTTGCGTAACTTTGTTAATTAAATTAATAAAATAAGTATCAATTTTGTTTGTTATTTGTAAAGTCGGGTTCCCTTTATCTAATATTAGGTTTTGGTTGAAGATCTGATAACATTCAGTATAAAAAAATATGCAAAAATAGAGAAAATCAGAAAGGGGGCAAATACTTTTTCACGGCACTGTATGAGTGAATGTTGTTTATTGACTACAGCTCATTGTTCAACACCTTAGTGCCCTCCAAGCTCATCATTAAGCTAAGGACCCTGGGACTGAACACCTCCCTTAGCAACTGGAACCTGGACTTCCTGACAGGCCACCCTCAGGTGGTGAGGGTAGGCAACAACACATCCGCCACGCTGACCATCAACACAGGGACGCCCCAGAGGTGCATGCTTAGTCCCCTCCTGTGCTCCCTGTTCACCCACGACTACGTGGCCGTGCACGACTCGGTCTGATCACCGATGACGATGAGACAGCCTATAGGGAGGAGGTCAGAGACCTGGCAGCAACCTCTCCCTCAACATCAGCAAGACAAAGGAGCTGATTGTGGACTACAGGAGAGCCGAGCACTCCCCCATTCACATCGACAGTGCTGTAGTGGAGCGGGTCAAGCGTTTCAAGTTCCACATCGCTAAGGATCTATCATTGTCCATACACACCAATACAGTCATGAAGAGGGCACGACAAAGCCTCTTCCCCCTCAGGAGGTTGAAAAGATTTGGCATGGGCCCTCAGATCCTCAAAATGTTCTACAGCTGCACCATTGAGAGCATCTTGACTGGCTGCATCACCGCTTGGTATAGCAACTGCTTGGCATCGAAACACAAAGCGCTACAGAGGGAAGTGCGTATGGCCCAGTACATCACTGGGGCCGAGCACCCTGCAATCCAGGACCTTTATACCAGGCGGTGTCAGAGGAAGGTCATAAAAATTGTCAAAGACTCCAGCCACCCAAGTTATAGACTGTTCTCTTTGTTACCGCATGGCAAGCGGTACCGATGCACCAAGTCTGGAACCAACAGGACCCTGAACAGCTTCTACCACCAAGCCATAAGACTGCTAAATAGTTAGTTAAATAGTTAACCAAATAGCTACCTGGACTATCTGCATTGACCCTCTTTGCACTAACTTTTTTGACTCATCACATAAGCTGCTGGTACTGTTTATTGTCTCTCACTTTATTCCTAGGTATATGTACCTCAATTACCTCGTACCCCTACACATCGACTCTGTACTGGTACCCCATGTATATAGCCAAGTTATCGTTATTCATTGTATATTTATTATTACTTTTGTTATTACGTGTTTTACTTTTCTATTATTTCTCTATTTTCTTTCTCTCTGCATTGTTGGGAAGGGCCTGTAAGTACGCATTTCACTGTTAGTCTACACCTGTTGTTTACGAAGCATGTGACAAATAACATTTGACAGATTATAATTTTTTGCCATGGAAGAAATATTGCCATACTGGGATCGTCCCAGCCCGAGTAGAACCCTGCTGCTACTGTCAGAACATCGGGATACAGTACAGCACTGGGATGGGAGATTATGCTACTGTAAGTACAGCGGCATACAGTATTACAGTACAGGGCTGGGATGGGAGATTATGCTACTGTAATTACAGCGGCATACAGTATTACAGTACAGGGCTGGGATGGGAGATTATGCTACTGTAAGTACAGCGGCATACAGTATTACAGTACAGGGCTGGGATGGGAGATTATGCTACTGTAATTACAGCGGCATACAGTATTACAGTACAGGGCTGGGATGGGAGATTATGCTACTGTAATTACAGCGGCATACAGTATTACAGTACAGGGCTGGGATGGGAGATTATGCTACTGTAATTACAGCGGCATACAGTATTACAGTACAGGGCTGGGATGGGAGATTATGCTACTGTAATTACAGTGGCATACAGTATTAAAGTACAGGGCTGGGATGGGAGATAATGCTACTGTAATTACAGCGGCATACAGTATTAAAGTACAGGGCTGGGATGTGTGATTGCAGTGGGTTTGAGAGAGAGAGAATGATAGAGAAGAGGGGGGAAAGAGAAACTAGTATTTTTCAACAAATTATTTTATAACCATTGAAAGTTGTACTGTTTATTTGCATAGCAACCTACTGAAAGGAAATATGATTTGTGTACCTGCCAGTGTTCGCTGCATTCTGTCCAAATAATTTATTTATTCTGACGCGCTAGAACCACTTAACTTAAGAATTAAATAAAGGTTAAATAAATAAATAAATAAGTAAAGAGTCACCTCTAATGTTCTGTCTGTTCTCTGTTCTCTGTTCTCTCTCTCTCTCTCTCTCTCTCTCTCTCTCTCTCTCTCTCTCTCTCTCTCTCTCTCTCTCTCTCTCTCTCTCTCTCAATTCAGTTCAATTCAATTTAAGGGCTTTATTGGCATGGGAAACATATGTTTACATTGCCAAAGCAGGTGAAATAGATAATAAATAAACAATAACAAATTAACAGTAAACATTACACTCACAAAAGTTCCAAAAGAATAAAGACATTTCAAATGTCATATTATGTCTGTATACAGTGTTATTATGATGTGCAAAAAGTACAAAAGGGAAAATAAATAAACCTAAATATAGGTTGCATTTACAATGGTGTTTGTTCTTCAGTGGTTGCCCTTTTCTTGTGGCAACAGGTCACAAATCTTGCTGCTGTGATGGCACACTGTGGTATTTCACCCAATAGATATGGGAGTTTATCCAAATTGGATTTGTTTTCAAATTCTCTAATATGGTCATACATTTGGCAGGAAGTTAGGAAGTGCAGCTCAGTTTCCACCTCATTTTGTGGGCAGTGTGCACATAGCCTGTCTTCTCTTGAGAGCCAGGTCTGCCTACGGCGGCCTTTCTCAATAGCAAAGCTATGCTCACTGAGTCCGTACATAGTCAAAGATTCCCTTAATTTTGGGTCAGTCACAGTGGTCAGGTATTCTGCCACTGTGTACTCTCTGTTTAAGCCAAATAGCATTCTAATTTGCTCAGTTTTTTTGTTGTGAATTCTTCCAATGTTTCAAGTAATTATCTTTTTGTTTTCTCATGATTTGGTTGGGTCTAATTGTGTTGCTGTCCTGGGCACTGTGAGGTCTGTTTGTGTTTGTGAACAGAGCCCCAGGACCAGCTTGCTTACGGGACTCTTCTCCAGGTTCATCTCTCTGTAGGTGGTGGCTTTGTTATGGAAGGTTTGGGAATCACTTCCTTTTAGGTGGTTGTAGAATTTAACGGCTCTTTTCTGGATTTTGATAATTAGCGGGTATCGGCCTAATTCTGCTCTGCATGCATCTCTCTCTCTCTCTCTCGCTCTCGCTCTCCTCACAGATGCAGATCTACCTGTACAACTCCGATGACTTTGACAGTCTCAGTGCGGCTATCAAGGAGAAACGCATGATTGCTGCGATGGCTGTGTTCTTTGAGGTAAGACTGGGCTGTGTTTTTGTTTGAGAAGTTCTGTTGGTCTCAGTTGTTCCCAAACACAATGAAACAGGAGGGTAGAGGGTAGGAATACAGGACTCATTGGGAAATATGAACAACAGTAGTGGATACACTGATCGAAAGCTGCTTGCTCTCCTGAGGCACATCTTTCTTCCTTGTCCTCTCTTTCCTTCCAACTTCCCATATCCCTATTATACATACAGTGCATTCGGAAAGTATTCAGACCCCTTCACTTTTTCCACATTTTGTTACGTTACAGCCTTATTAAAAAATTGATTCAATTGTTTTTTTCCCTCATCAATCAACACACATTACCCCATAATGACAAAGCAAAAACGGAAAAATCACATTTACATAAGTATTCAGACCCTTTACTCAGTACTTTGTTGAACCACCTTTGGCAGTGATTACAGCCTCGAGTCTTCTTGGGTATGACACTACAAGCTTGGCACACCTGTATTTGGGGAGTTTCTCCCATTCTTCTCTGCAGATCCTCTCAAGCTCTGTCAGGTTGGATGGGGAGCGTCGCTGCACAGATATTTTCAGGTCTTTCCAGAGATTGGGTTCAAGTCCGGGCTCTGGCTGGGCCTCTCAAGGACATTCAGAGACTTGTCCCGAAGCCACTCCTGTGTTGTCTTGGCTGTGTGCTTAGTCTCGTTGTCCTGTTGGAAGGTTAACCTTCGCCCCAGTCTGAGGTCCTGAGCGCTCCTGAGCAGGTTTTCATCAAGGATCGCTCTGTACTTTGCTCCGTTCATCTTTCCCTCGACCATGACTCGACTCCCAGTCCCTGCCGCTGAAAAACATCCCCACAGCATGATGCTGCCACCACCATGCTTCATCGTAGGGATGGTGCCAGGTTTCCTCCAGATGTGATGCTTGGCAAGGAGTCTCATGGTCTGAGACTCCTTTAGGTGCCTTTTGACAAACTCCAAGCGGGCTGTCATGTGCCTTTTGCTGAGGAGTGGCTTCCGTCTGGCCACTAGTGCTGCAGAGATGGTTGTTCTTCTAGAAGGTTGTCCCATCTCCACAGAGGAACTCTGGAGCTCTGTCAGAGTGACCATCGGGTTCTTGGTCATCTCCCTGACCAAGGCACTTCCCCCCCTATTGCTCAGTTTGGCCAGGCGGCCAGCTCTAGGAAGAGTCTTGGTGGTTCCAAAGTTCTTCCATTTAAGAATGATGGAGGCCACTCTGTTCTTGGGGGCCTTCAATGCTGCAGAATTTTTTTTGTACCCTTCCCCAGATCTGTGCCTCGACACAATCCTGTCTCGGTGCTCGACGGACAATTCCTTCGACCTCATGGCTTGGTTTTTGCTCTGACATGCACTGTCAACTGTGGGACCTGATATAGACAGGTGTATACCCTTCCAAATCATATCCAATCAATTGAATTTACCACAGGTGGACTCCAATCAAATTGTAGAAACATCTCAAGGATGATCAATGGAAACAGGATGCATCTGAGCTCAATTTCGAGTCTCATAGCAAAGGGTCTGAATACTTATGTAAATAATCTATTTCTGTTTTTTATTTTAAATACATTAGCAAAATAAAATCCAAAAATCTGTTTTCGCTTTGTCATTATGGGGTATTGTTCTACAGCTGAGGATTTTTATTTTATTTAATCCATTTTAGAATAAGGCTGTAACGTAACAAAATATGGAAAAAGTCAAGGGGTCTGAATACTTTCCGACAGCACTGTAAAGTGTAGATAAACTATTCTACTATGTGGTTGTCTGATTCTTCTATTCATAACTCGTTTTGGTTCCAGAGGAAAAGTAAATATGGACTGTTCTAGCATCTTCATCTTTTTTTTTCATGTTCCATATTTTTGGGCGTGGTGGCTAGGATTTAGCCACAGTAAAGTGACTGCAGCGGAAACACTGGTTCTATTTCTATTATATTGATGTGGTCTATTACTTAGAAGCACTCTATCGTAACACTCAGGGCCACACAGACAAAGTGGCCGGGACCGTTCCTCTCTGACAGAGAGGCAGGCAAGTTGGAATGGGGACACAGGTGTTTCTAGGTCTGTGGATAGACAGTGACGGACCTTGTGTGTGTGAAGACCTAAATGCTACCACTGTGTTTCTGACAGCCCTGTCGCTTACAGCAATTAGCATCAGCGCGCGCACACATGTATCCAGCTGAAAGAGCAGGAAACACACATACACACAGACACACCAGTTTACCATATCTAATCGAGCTGCATTTGGGCTCCCTGAGGGTGTGTGAATGGTCACTAAGGGGTTCATGTTATTATCCACATTCAGCACTTAGTTACAGACTATTACTCTCATTGGACTGACCTGAATTAGGAATGGGAAGGAAGAGGAGGAGGAGGAGTGGTCCCCATGTCCCAACACGGTTTTATTCCCCCGTAGTGTAAATAGGACATTGGGAATGTTGGTAATAAATGTGATACGTGTACTGAACTGAGTGTGGGTACTGTAACTGCTGTTCTGGGCTGTCCTGTAAAAGAGCCTGTCTCTTGTTTGTTGTCTTCAGGTGGGGTGGAGAGACAATCCAGCCGTAGAGCCCATCATCCAGGGACTGAAACGGGTTGTACACCACGGTGAGTACACCTGGCACTCACACTACTACTGTCACTCTCTCTCTCTGTGTTCTTCTAAAAAGGACATTGGCTTTATCACTTTCGCTATAATTCATAATAATAATCTACCAACTGAGGTACTCAAAGCTCTTTACATAGTAATGGTGAAACTCACCTCATCCCCAACGACCATTTTATGTGCCAGAACGCTCACCACACATCAGGTGAGGAGTGATTTATACCAATTAGGAGGATTATTAGGTGGCCATGATGGAATTAAGTGGCCATGTCATTGGGGTTCACACCCCTACTCTTATGATAAGTGCCATGGGAATTTTAATGACCACAGAGGGTCAGGACATCCGTTTAACGTCCCATCCGAAAGACGGCACCCTACGCAGGGCATTGACCCCTTCACTGCTTTGGGATCTGCTTAGCCCTCCAACACCACTTCCAGCAGCATCTGGTCTCCCATCCAGCGACCGACCAGGACCAACCCTGCTTAGCTTCAGAGGCAAGCCAGCAGAGGGATGCAGGGTGGTATGCTGCTGGCTATAGAGGGCTTTCAGTCACACACAAGAGCACTCAATGAATGTCCTCAAAAAAATACAACTAAAAAAGAGACAGAGAAATGATTTCCCAAGGACATAGTTGTTGTTGTTTATGTTGTTTGTGAGGTTAATGTGAGGTGATTGCTTCAAACATCACACATCTCCCAGACTGTCTATCTTCAGACATCACACATCTCCCAGACTGTCTGTGAATAGAGATTCTGCACCTCTCATCTGGTCTTCCATCCGTTTGTTCAGGCTTTTGAAGATACTTAACCTTGGTGTTCATTATTAATCCCACATTAAAGTCTGACCACAAACTGTGAGCCCAGTCTTACATCAAGAGGAAGGCAGTACAGCGAGTTACCACCACTCCCTGCTTCTCTCTCTGTGTAGCGCTGCGAAGAAGAGACGGAAAAGTGAATTGCATCTAAACCTCAATTAGTCTCGTTCGCTCACACACACTAACACACACACACAGAGAATTTACACACACAGCAGCAGCATCAGATGCATGCTCGCTTGCACCATTAATGTTTAATGCTAGGGGGACACAGACAGACGTGCCTAGCTGTGATGTGTGTTGTCTGAAAGTGGAGTTAGCTGGTGTCACTACAAACATGAGTTATGCCGTGTCTCTACCAGCCCGTATCCGAATATGCTTTAGCATGTTTCCCTAATCCTCTGCTCCGTCTGCCTATACATACATACACACACACACACACACCGGCCTGAACAAATTGCCCCTCGGGGATTAATAAAGTTGTATTGTATTGTATACGGAGCCATGCCGCTGTGTCTATATGTGTGCGTGCACGCTTTGTGTGTACCAACACATACGGCTGGGTTAACAATGTGCTTCTGACGTAGATCTCTTTATGTGTGTCCACTCAGAGACAGACCGAGAGAAAACATATTAATGGAAGAAGGGAATAAACTGAGAGCATATGGTCTCTTTACTCATGCTGATTCATCTCACACAACTGGAGCTCCTCCGTGCTTCTCTGGGTCTTTCTCCAATTCATTACACTGACTATCTATACTGGATGATCTGCCATGGCTGGAACGGGGCTAGAATGGGGCTAGCAGGCAGGTGGTATTGCTAGATTTAGTGGACTAAAAAGCATGCTCAATGGAGAATCTCCAATGAAAGTGTTTTTTAGACAAGGAATAGGCCTATTCCTTAACTCCGGGAAACTGCCCTCTGTGTTGATCATTCAGACTTGTGTTGCATGTTTAATCCAGAGTCCCACGCTGTTGGGGGAAGGGTTGGGTTGTTGTTCTGAATGTCCAAGGGAGGCTCCTGGTCCTCTGGCTGGGTACTTATGTGAGTCCCAAATGTTACCCTATTCCCATAGGGCTCTGGTCAAAAGTAGTGCACTACATAGGTAATAGGGTGCAATTTGGGATGCACACTAATATCCTCTTCTAGCTAGTTGGAGGTGGCGGTGGTGGGCTTTCCGCCAGCTCGTTAGCTTCAGCCATCCATCCATCCATCCATTAGCAGGTCTGAGGCAGCACCACCATACGGCACTAGGCTGTGCTACTACTGAAACAGCCCACGATGTCGGGAACAGAAAGGGGCTGTGCTGTCTGAGGTCAGGTAGTAGAGATGCTGTGACTACTGAAACATCCCACGATGTCACGAACGGAAAGGGGCTTCCATTGGGACACGTCTGCTGTACAGTCACGTCCACTGTCTCGTCCCATGTCCCATCCACACTCCATAGTCCACAGTGTGGCGTCCTCTTTATCCTTCCATAGTAACCTACATGACTGTTAGTAGGATCTCCCTCGTACCTACATGGCATGGTTTATATCTTAACCCCAAGCTCAGAGTCCTGCTGCCACCACAGATTGTCTCCAGCTACCACTTTACTACCCCAGATTGTGACAGCAGCCTCTAAACACAGGAGTATGTATCTCCCTGTGGTTACAGCGGGCTACAGCTGCCCATCGATGGATTAGTTGTCAGAGCAGGAGACCTTATCTGATCGTCCTCTCCTCCTCTTCCTCTTCCTCTCCTTTCTGCTAAGCCCTGATGTTGCCAAACAAATGCCAGAAGGAGGTTTTTAGGCAGGAAATGTCCCTGTAAAACAGGATGCCAGCAGTAAAGCAGAAGGAGGTTTTTAGGCAGGAAATGTCCCTGTAAAACAGGATGCCAGCAGTAAAGCAGAAGGAGGTTTTTAGGCAGGAAATGTCCCTGTAAAACAGGATGCCAGCAGTAAAGCAGAAGGAGGTTTTTAGGCAGGAAATGTCCCTGTAAACATGATGCCAGCAGTAAAGCAGAAGGAGGTTTTTAGGCAGGAAATGTCCCTGTAAAACAGGATGCCAGCAGTAAAGCAGAAGGAGGTTTTTAGGCAGGAAATGTCCCTGTAAAACAGGATGCCAGCAGTAAAGCAGAAGGAGGTTTTTAGGCAGGAAATGTCCCTGTAAAACTGGATGCCAGCAGTAAAGCTCTTAGAGTGATGTTCCCAATAACTGGCAGTTGTAAATAAACACGGATCCTCCTACCTGATTTAAAATAAAATACTAGTCCTATGGGTGATTATGCACAGTAAATAAATTCCCCATACTCTAAACATTTGGGGATTGAAATAGGCGTAAAGATACAATATAATGTCAATATTTTCTATTGAATTATGTGGGAATAATTATACCTACACTTTGTTTACAGTGTGTGGGTCTCTGAGTGTGCGTGGGTCTCTGAGTGTGTGTGGTGTCTCTGAGTGTGCGTGGGTCTCTGAGTGTGTGTGGGTCTCTGAGTGTGTGTGGGTCTCTAGGTGTGTGTGGGTCTCTGAGTGTGTGTTGGTCTCTGGATGTGTGTGGGTCTCTGAGTGTGTGTGTGTCTCTGGGTGTGTGTGGGTCTCTGGGTGTGTGTGGGTTTCTGGGTGTGTGTGGGTCTCTGAGTGTGGGTGCGGCTGTGTTTGTGTGTTTCTCTGTGTTGATGTGTGCATTCCTGTGCTCTCTCTCCTCTCCCCTAAATAGAATGATGATATGTTAGTTTGTGTTTCTCTGTGTTAATGTGTTTCTTTGTGTTTCTCTGAGTTGATGTGTGTGTTCCTGTGCTCTCTTTCCTCTCTCCTCTCAAAGAGAAGGATGCTGTGTTAGTTAGTTTTTCTCCGTGTTTATGTGTGTATCTGTTCTGTCTCTCCCCCTTTCAGAGAAGGAGACATTCCTGAGTCCATTTATCCTGAGGGATCTGCTACCATCATTGTTGGGGAGTTACTACCGCTACACAGGCTCTCTCACCAGCCCGCCCTGCAGCAAGGTGGTTGAGTGGATCATCTTCTCCAGACCCGTCTTACTCTCCCACTCACAGGTCAGTTAAACATGCACGCACACACACACACACACACACATTTTGGGGAGTAAAAATATATTCCCATTCAAAATCCTATTTTCCCTAACCCTAAGCCTAACCCCTAACTCCTAACCCTAAACCTAGCCCTTAAGCCTAAAATAGCATTTTAACAAATTCAGGGCTTGAAAAAAACCTACCATGTCAGAACATTCTGGTGACTTGTTAGGATATTCTGGTCCTGATAAGGTAGGAAAACATGTACACACACACACACACACACACTATCATCTCGGCTTGGGCGGTATACCGCATATACAGTATATTGGGTATTTGGAAAAAGCCATGGGATGGTTTTTCAATACCATCAATACAATTGAAACAACATTTTTTCATTTCAACTGTAACATTATTTGAAGCTTACGGTAGTCCCCAGTCACATGGTGTTTGTTTACAAGCACACAAGGACAAGAGTCCTGAGCCTTGTGAGTGACTCATGGTTGTGCAGTGCCAGGTAATCTAATTACAGTATGGAATGAACAACTAAATGTTTACCAGCTAGATATCTTATAACTATTAAGTTAACTATCTAAAAGGTGCTAAATGCTCTGCAGTTGTGCATTTGGCTTGATTTAGTAGCTAGTTAGCTATCTAGCTGTGGTTAGCTTCTTCCAAAATCAAGCATTCGCTTGGTAACAGCAGAGAATCCCCTCCTGGATCAAGAGCCTTGCTGGCTAATATTTGTTTTGTGTGTGCAGCAAACTGTGAGTAGCATTGTTGAGTTACTTGTATACTTGTATAGTTTAGGTCAGAAACTGTACAATATGTTTGCAATGCGCTTGTTACCATTTAGTTAGCATTCTCTATGGGATTTGACATGTACTTGTTAGCATTGCTAAACTTCGGATTACAGAGTATCATTGGGGTTTGAACATAGCGCCCTTTGTGTTCAGTGCCGGTCTTACCGGATATTCTGGTATGGGACAAGGTTGATATGAAGGTATGACAATTTGGAGAAGCTTACTATCATCCCTCTGTTTCTATACACCAACCTGCTCCTCCCCTCTTCCCCTACTCCCTTCCTCCTCCTACCCTTCCTCTCCTCCCTCCTCCTTCTCTTCCTATGTGTATAAAACATTAACTGCCTATGTGGTGGGTGATTAAACGGGTGTAGCCAATTACTGCTACAGTATGTGAATTATAGTGGCTGTGAACACATGCAAACAGACTGGCTGCGGGCAGCTACAGGCTTTTAAATTCCTTCTGACACCAGGTTGACTATCACACTAAATACTGGAGGTGACTGCATATTTACTGCAAATGACCTCTCCTACCATTACCTACACATCACACCACGCAATCTCCCAGCTGCTTTATAAATATACTGCTGCTATAGAAATAATAAAATATAGCACATCAAGTGCTTGGCTTTGAATAATCCTTTCTGGGCGGCAGGTAGCTTAGTGGTTAAGAGCGTTGTGCCAGTAACCGAAAGGTCGCTGGTTCTAATCCCCGAGCCGACTAGGTGAAAAATCTGTCGTTGTGCCCTTGAGCAAGGCACTTAACCCTACTTGCTCCTGTAAGTCGCTCTGGATAAGAGCGTCTGCTAAATGACTAAAATGTAAAAAAAATGTAATAAGACATGGTCTTATGATCTTATTTCGATTATCTTACTATGTGCAACGCTTGGTTATATACACATATATTTACATATCTCCTTGAGTGTACATTGTATATTTGAAGAGCTCCGGACGAGATTTGTCCACAAACCTGCAGCAGAGGACAAATCCTTTGTTGTGTATTGGATCACTGGACGTAGAGTATTGACTGTGTACTGCAATGTTTCATGGCGTTCATAGATGGTCTCTTATGAATACATAATTCATTTTTCCGTGCGTCCATAGAAGACATTGATTCTAGCCAATCTTTAATGGTTAGTCATTACAATGCTCTGCAGGACGTCAGTCAAAGAGATCGATGGCAGCAACTTTGCCCCTTTGAAATGTTACACACTCCTGGAGCCAGTCGAGCAGAACAGAGGCACGTTTATGTCCTTTGCTTCAGGGACACACATACACATACACATGCACCCCCTCCACCCAACACACACACACACGAAACAATCACACGCACACTCACACACTGCTTCTGCCTTACTGAAACCTATCCCTCTCTCTCTCTCTTCTGTGTCTAGCTGGAGGCATTCTACTCCATCTTCACCACAGAGCAGCAGGACCATGTGAAGTCAGTAGAGTACCTGAGGAACAACTACAGACCACTCCAAGACCTGGACAACAGGGAGGTATTGAAGTCCGCTGTTAAAGACGCCTGGCAGAGGGACCTGACTGACAGCCTGGGATTGGGTACAGACGGCATCACAGACGCATCCAGAGGTACCACACTATACGCTCTCTTACAGTCAGTCAGTTAGTTAGTCACCAGACACATCCAGAGGTACCACTACACCTGATCTGATCTGACCTTACGCTACTTCTCACCATGTCACTCGGTCTTTCACTTAGTGCCTGTCATTTATCTATACCAGCATTTCCCAAACTCGGTCCTGGGGACCCCTAGGGGTACACATTTAGTTTTTTGCCCTAACACTACACAGCTGATTCAAATTATCGAAGCTTGATGATTAGTTGATTATTTCACTCATATTCACTCATAAGTTTATTAATTCAATCAGTCTTTCAGTTGTTTATTGCCTTTCTTTGTCTTTGTATGAAATATTTTTTCTTACTTTATTTTGCATTACAAACATTGTTAGTTGAGGCTCCGCTAAAACCGGTCGAGTCCATCCAGAAAGGCCCCTGCCTCTTTAAACATTGGCTGTCTTTGTTTTGAGTGTGGCTGGCAGAGAGAATTGAATGGGAGTGATTGTGATGAAGTGGTAGCTAGCGCTGTAATGGGCTACATGACTGAGTAATCATCATTAATATGCATACAAAAAATTGTCATACAAATGAAGTTGTGAAATCGCTCTGTCTCGCTCTCATCTTTCTTCCATTTCCTTTCCCATCTCCCTTTCTCTCATAATAGACGTATCCTCTCTGATCCCTGGGTCTAGTAATATATAGATATGTAGAGTATAATAGCCCTTCTCCTCCTCTCTGATCTCCTCTCCTCCTCTCTGCTCTTCTCTCATCCACTCTGCTCTCCTCCTCTCCTCTCTGCTCACCTCCTCTCTCCTCTCCTCCTTTTTGATCTCCTCTCTCCTCTCCTCCTCTCTGCTCTTCTCTCTACTCTCCTGCTCACCTCTGACCTCTGCTCTCCTCTCTGCTCTCTGCTCTCCTCCTCTCTGCTCTCCTCCTCCCTGCTCTCCTCCTCTGTCCTCCTCTGCTCTGCTCTCCTCTCTGCTCTCCTATCCACTCCTATATGCTCTCCTTGGCTCTCCTATCTTCTCTCTTCTCCTCTGCTCTCCTCTCATCTGCTCTCCTCTGCTCTCCTCTCATCTGCTCTCCTCCTTTCTGCTCTCCTCTCCTCTCTCCTCTTCTCTGCTCTCCTCCTCTCTGCTCTCCACTCTGCTCTCCTCTCTGCTCTCCTCTCCTCCTCTCCTCTTCGCTCCTATCCTCTCCTCCATCTCTCACCCAACCTAACCCTCTCCTCACACCCTACCTCCATTTCATGTATACATAATTCACACTATTTTCACATAATTTTTTCAGTGGAATAACGGAGCAATGTAAGACCGAAAATGTAGAGCTTCCTGCCTTGACACTGGTTGTAGACAGCCTCTGAATCCATTGTCTAGTCACTCAACACTCCATGCGCAGACAGACAGACATACTGACGGCCACATGGATACAGATGCCTTTCTGGTGACCATACTGTGGCCTACATCACCACCTTGAGGTTATGTATAGTACTGCAGCCATACAGTGTGTGAGTGAGTGAGTGAGTGAGTCATCCTCTGATCTATTCTCTAGTACCACAGATGAGACGACTGACTCACTTAAATATAGAACCACAGAAGATTACTAAAGTAGTCAACAACACCACACACGCCTGACTCCTGTTTCAGATGTATCATACACACTGGTCCCTCTATTCCTCCACTCCTCCAATCCTTCGTCCCACCTTCCTACATCCCTCTGTCTCTCTAGCCCTCCACCCATCCATCCCTACTTCCTCCATCTCTACATCCCTCTGTCTCTCTAGCCCTCCACCCTTCCATCCCTACTTCCTCCATCTCTACATCCCTCTGTCTCTCTAGCCCTCCACCCTTCCATCCCTACTTCCTCCATCTCTACATCCCTCTGTCTCTCTAGCCCTCCACCCTTCCATCCCTACTTCCTCCATCTCTACATCCCTCTGTCTCTCTAGCCCTCCACCCTTCCATCCCTACTTCCTCCATCTCTACATCCCTCTGTCTCTCTAGCCCTCCACCCTTCCATCCCTACTTCCTCCATCTCTACATCCCTCTGTCTCTCTAGCCCTCCACCCTTCCATCCCTACTTCCTCCATCTCTCCATCCCTCTCTCTCTATCCCGCCATCCCTCCTTCCTCCATCCCTCTATCTCCGTCTCTCCACACCTCCATCCCTCTATCGCTCCATCCAGTACCCTAGAGACTGGTTGGTTGGACTATACCAGAGCCCTGTGTGTTGAGGCTCAAGGCTAGTGTCTTTATGAGCTTATGTTTTCTTTCAGTCTGGTTAAAGCTGGTCCTCTGGAAACCAACGGCTGGGTGAGTCAGCAGTCAGACAGTAATAAAATATGTAGTTTCTCCTCAGGCTGTCTGCCTGCGACCCACGCACGTAACACATACACACACCTTGCCATTATCAGATCAGACTGAGAGCTGGTGAGATGTAAACACAGCCTGCAGTCCGCCGCTCCGAGCGAGTCCTTTTATTTTTACCTGTTTGTTTGTCTGTGTCACCATCATCGTTTCATTAATCAGAAAAACACTTCTCAAGGCTCTCTCTCTCTCGCTCTTTCTCTTTCTTTCTCTTTCTTTCTCTCTCTATCTTTTCCTATCCTCTTCCGCCCAGGGTGGTTTTTATTGTCTTATAAATCATTTCTTTACCGTTTTCTCTCTCAATCCATCCGTCTCCTCATTCCTCTTCCCTCTCTTTCACCCCTCCTTCCCTCTCCATTCTGATTTTCCTCCCTCAACCCCTCCCTCCTTCCCCCCCACCTCCCTCCCTCACCAGTCTGCAGCAGTGCCCCAATCAACATGAAGATCCAGCCGCTGAACGGCACTGCCCTGGTGGTGAGCTGGCAGCGCCCGCTAGTGGTCTACCACCCGCCTATCACCAGCTTCATGGTCTCCTACAGCTGGGTGAAGAGCGACGTGGCCTACGAGAAGACCTTCACCAAGACTGGAGACCAGAACATGGTGAGACACACAGACAGAGAACACTGTACAGACTGTCAGTCGGTCACAGTCACCTGGCTGGAAATAGACACTCCAGGTCTGTCTGTCACAAATCAAATCACATTTTATTTGTCACATGCTTGGTAAACAACAGGTTTAGACTAACAGTGAAATGCTTCCTTACGGGCTCTTCCCAACAATACAGAGATACATTTTTTTTTAGAAATAATAGAAATCATAATAACACATGAATACACAATGAGTAACGAGAACTTGGCTATACAGTATACATGGGGTACCAATTTGTAAGTCGCTCTGGATAAGAGCATCTGCTAAATGATGTAAATGTAAATGTACCAGTACCGAGTCGATGGGTACGAGGTAATTGGGGTAGATATGTATATATTCAGAAAGTATTCAGACCCCTTGACTTTTTCCACATTTTGTTACGTTACAGCCTGATTCTAAAATGAATTAAATAAATAGAAATCCTCAGCAATCTGCACACAATACCCATAATGACAAAGCAAAAACAGGTTTTTAGAAATGTTTGCTAATAAAAAACAGAAATATCTTATTTACATAAGTATTCAGACCCTTTGCTATGAGACTCCAAATTGAGCTCAGGTTCATCCTGTTTCCATTGATCATCCTAGAGATGTTTCTACAACTTGATTGGAGTCCACCTGTGGTAAATGAAATTGATTGGACATGATTTGGAAAGGCACACACCTGTATATATAAGGTCCCACAGTTGACAGTGCATGTCAGAGCAAAAACCAAGCCATGAGGTCGAAGGAACTGTCCGTGGAGCTCTGGGACAGTGTCGAGGCACAGATCTGGGGAAGGGTACCAAAACATTTCTTTAGCATTGAAGGTCCCCAAGAACACAGTGGCCTCCATCATTCTTAAATGGAAGAAGTTTAGAACCACCAAGACTCTTCCTAGAGCTGGCCGCCTGGCCAAACTGAGCAATCGGGGGAGAAGGGCCTTGGTCAGGGAGGTGACCAAGAACCTGATGTTCACTCTGACAGAGCTCTAGAGTTCCTCTGTTGAGAAGGGAGAACCTTCCAGAAGGACAACCATCTCTGCAGCACTCCACCAATCAGGCCTTTATGGTAGAGTGGCCAGACGGAAGCCACTCCTCAGTAAAAGGCACATGACAGACCGCTTGGACTCTCAGACCAAGAGAAACAATTCTCTGGTCTGATGAAACCCAGATTGAACTGTTTGGCCTGAATGCCAAGTGTCACGTCTGGAGGAAACCTGGCACCATCCCTACGGTGAAGCATGGTGGTGGCAGCATCATGCTGTGGGGATGTTTTTCAGTGGCATGGACTGGGAGACTAGTCATGATCGAGGCAAAGATGAACGGAGCAAAGTACAGAGAGATCCTTGATGAAAACCTGCTCCAGAGCGCTCAGTACCTCAGACTGGGGCGAAGGTTCACCTTCCAACAGGACAACGACCCTAAGCACACAGCCAAAGCAACGCAGGACTGGCTTCTGGACAAGTCTCGGAATGTCCTTGAGTGGCCCAGCCAGAGCCCGTACTTGAACCTGATCGAATATCTCTGGAGAGACCTGAAAATAGCTGTGCAGCAACGCTCCCCATCCAACCTGACAGAGCTTGAGAGGATCTGCAGAGAAGAATGGGAGAAACTCCCCAAATACAGGTGTGCCAAGCTTGTATCATCATACCCAAGAAGACTCAAGGCTGTAATCACTGCCATAGGTGCTTCAACAAAGTAAAGAGTAAATGGTCTGAATACTTATGTAAATGTTATATTTCTGGTTTTAATTTTGTATAGATTAGGAACATTTTCAAAAAAAACTGTTTTGCTTTGTCATTATGGAGTATTGTGTGTAGATTGATGAGGAAAAAAATGTTTTAGTCAATTTTAGAATAAGGCTGTAACCTAACAAAATGTGGGAAAAGTCAAGGGGTCTGAATACTTTCCGAAGGCACTGTAGGTAGGGATAAAGTGACTAGGCAAAATAGTTAGTGCAAAAAAGGGTCAATGCAGATAGTCCTGGGAAGCTATTTTGTTAACAATTTGGCAGTCTGATGGATTGGGGGTAGAAGCTGTTCAGGGTCCTGTTGGTTCCAGACTTGTGCATCGGTACCGCTTGCCATGCGATAGAGAGAACAGTCCATGACACACACACTGCACTGAGACTCCCACAGTGATGTGTCTGATGGGCAAAACTCCCTCAAGTCTAATGTGTCAGTGAGAGGTGAAATGGTCTCATACCATCACTGTAACGTGTGATCTCAGTTAAATTTTCTTTTTAAAGCATGGCAGTCTTCTCATTCAGCCAGTGATTGTTGTTGATATAATTCATGCCTTCACGTTAGTTTCCAACTTGAATGTGTTGACTATTTAGACTTGCCAAATGGAGCCTAACGTGTCCAACTATGATGTGTCTAAATACACTATATATACAAATGTATGTGGACACCCCTTCAAATTAGTGTATTCGGCTTTTTCAGCCACACCCGTTACTGACAGGTGTGTAAAATCGAGCACACAGCCATGCAATCTCCATAGACAAACATTGACAGTATAATAGCCCTACTGAAGAACTCAGTGACTTTCAACGTGGCACCGTCATAGAATGCCACCTTTCCAACAAGTCATAGAATTTCGGCCATGCTAATGCTGCCAGGGTCAACTGTAAGTGCTGTTATTGTGAAGTGGAAACATCTTGGAGCAACAATGGCTCAGCTGTGAAGTGGTAGGCCACACAAGCTCCACAGAACGGGACCGCCGAGTGCTGAAGTGCGTAGCGGGTAAAAATTGTCCGTCCTCGGTTGCAACACTCACTACCGAGTTCTAAACTGCCTCTGGAAGCAACGTCAGCACAATAACTGTTCATCGGGAGCTTCATGAAATGGGTTTCCATGGCCGAGCAGCCGCACACAAGCCTAAGATCACCATGCACAATGCCAAGCTTCAGCTGGAGTGGTGTAAAGCTCGCCACCATTGGACTATGGAGCAGTCCGACCAATCTGGGTTTGGCGGATGCCAGGAGAACGCTACCTGCCCCAATGCATAGTGCCAACTGTAAAGTTTGGTGGTGGAGGAATAATGGTCTGGGGCTGTTTTTCATGGTTAGGGCTAGGCCCCTTAGTTCCAGTGAAAGGAAATCTTAACGCTACAGCATACAATGACATTCTAGACGATCCTCTGCTTCCAAGTTTGTGGCAACAGTTTGGGGAAGGCCATTTCCTGTTTCAGCATGACAATGCTGGGGCGGCAGGTAGCGGCAGGTAGCTTAGTGGGTAAGAGCGTTGTGCCAGTAACCGAAAGGTCGCTGGTTCTAATCCCCAAGCCGACTAGGTGAAAAATCTGTCGATGTGCCCTTAAGCAAGGCACTTAACCCTAATTGCTCATGTAAGTCGCTCTGGATAAGAGCGTCTGCTAAATGACTAAAAATGTAAATGTAAAAAAAAAAATGCCCCCGTGCACCAAGCGAGGTCCATACAGAAATGGTTTGTCGAGATTGGTGTGGAAGAACTTGACTGGCCTTGCCAAAGCCGTGACCTCAACCTCATCGAACACCTTTGGGATGAATTGGAACGCCGACTGCGAGCCAGGCCTAATCACCCAATATCCGTGCCCGACCTCACCAATGCTGTTGTGGCTGAATGGAAGCAAGTCCCCGCAGCAATGTTCCAACATCTAGTGGAAAGCCTTCCCAGAAGAGTGGAGGCTGTTATAGCAGCAAAGGGGCAAACTCCATATTATTGCTCATGATTTTGGAATGAGCTGTTCGTCAAGCAGGTGTCCACATACTTTTGGTCATGTAGTGTGTATATAAATGAAGCCAGACAGAGAAGGATTTGGCTGTGAACGATCATTTAAAAGGAATAAACATGGTCTGCAGGAAAACACTGTCTCAGGAGAGACGATGCTGAGACGTCCATCTCTCTTTGCCTACAATCAATCACCACCGTCTCGCTCTCTCTCTCTTCCTTTTGCCATATCGCCACACTCCCTCATTCTTCCCTCACGTCAGCCCCCTTTCTCCATTCTCTGCCCACTTCATTTCCATTTTTATTTTCAATCTCCGTCCTTATCTGGGTTATATCAGGGACCTGCAGGCATCCTGCAATCATAGTTGAATCAATTGAAAACCACTCAAGCCCTTAGTTTCACATCCCCTCTTCTCATATCCCCTTCGGCCAATGCAATAACCCTCCATTCTGGAGACCATCTGTGACATAATTAACTTTAACCAGAGTGGCCTCTGATGCATCAGACAGTGCAATGATGGACAGGTAAGGACACAGAACGGGTAGGTGAGGACACAGAGAGGAGTAGGGGGTAGGTGAGGACACAGAGAGGAGTAGGGGGTAGGCGAGGACACAGAGAGGAGTAGGGGGTAGGCGAGGACACAGAGAGGAGTATGGGGTAGGTGAGGATAGAACAGACGCTATGGATCCCTAGCATGGGCGTGAGCTGCCAGTATTGACACTCACTGAATGTAAATCATATGTGAATCGTTTCCTTAGGCCTTTGATGAAGTGTGGATGTCCCATATGTACAGGACTCAGTGACAGGGTGTGTCTATGTCTGTCTGTCTGACTCTCATTCTCTCTCTTGCTCTCTATGCCTCTCTGTCCATCCTACAGAAGGCAGTGATAACCCAAGTGTCTCCAGACATCCTGTATCTGTTCAGAGTCCAGGCAGTGTGCCAGAGAGACCTACGCAGTGACTTCAGCCAGACACTGCTCTTAAGAGGTAACCACACACCATACATAACACGGCATATACAGTACAACCCTATGGATGAAGTCACATAATCCTAAATACTAAGAACAAACTCTTGTCTTTGTTCCAAATGCATGTGTAACCTTTTCCTCTGTTTACTATTCTAGCTAACACCACCAGGATATTTGAGGGAACACGGATAGTGAAAACTGGAATGGTGAGTAAAGTGCAGATCATTTGTGTTGTCCAGAAGATGGCAGCATAACAATTTATTCTGTGATGTGCCAACATGATTTGAAATGGCAGGATACTGACTCTCTCTCTCTCTCTCTCTCTCTCTCTCTCTCTCTCTCTCTCCTCTCTCTCTCTCATCTCTCTCTCTCTCTCTCTCTCTCTCTCTCTCTCTCTCTCTCTCTCTCTCTCTCTCTCTCTCTCTCGCTCCACCCCCCTACCCCTCTCCTTCCCTCTCCCCCCTCCCCCCCCTCTTTCCCCCAGCCCACCATCTCCCCAGCCTCCTCGGCAGACATGGCTCCTATCAGCTCAGGCTCCTCCACCTGGACCTCCTCTGGTCTCCCCTTCTCCTTCATTTCCATGGCTACGGGGGGCATCGGCCCATCCTCCAGCGGCAGTCAGGCCACAGTGGCATCGGTGGTGACCAGCACCCTGCTGGCCGGCCTGGGCTTCAGCGGAGGGGTCATCTCCTCCCTGCCTGGCTCTCTCTGGCCCACCCAGGCCCCTGCAGCCAGCCCTGGGTCTAACCCTGGCCCGGGTCCCAACCCCAGCCGCCAGCCTGCCCAGTCCCAGGCCTCCACTGAGCCCCCTACAGCCCCTCTGGGTGGTTCTGACACGGACACCCCCACAGAGGAGAAGGAGGCGGGGGTGGACAGGGAGGCCGAGGGGGAGGAGGGAGAGGGAGAGGAGGATGAAGGGGAAGACGACAGGAGGAAGAAGAATAACAAGACAGCGCCTGATGAGGTGGAGACGCAGCTGAACGGCACAGTGGTCAATGAGCCCTCCTCCTACACCCCCACCCCCACAGCCAAAGAGAAAGGACAGGGGCAGGGAGAGCCTGTGGCTAACAGCACCACTGTGCCTCCCAGTGTAAGGGAGGACCGACTGGTCAGAGTGGACAGTAGCTCAGGGCCCACAGTGCAGCCAAAGAACGACACAGCAGAGAGAGAGATGCAGATTCCCCAGAGCCCAACACGATCCCCAAAGACTGGTGGGGAGGAGAAGAGCCTTTGGCCTTTCTCTGTCCACACTGGTGAGTAGAACTCTCCGTATAACCCATATATTTTTCCTATTTTTAGCACAACTACACTGAACAAAATGATAAACGCAACATGCAACAATTTCAAAGATATAAGGAAATCTTTCAATTGAAATAAATTCATTAGGCCCTAATCTATGGATTTCACATGACTGGGAGTACAGATAGGCATCTGTTGGTCACAGATACCTTTAAAAAAAAGGGATCTGGTGTGACCACCATTTGCCTCATGCAGCACGACACATCTCCTTTGCATAGAGTTGATCAGGCTGTTGATTGTGGCCTGTGGAATGTTGTTCCACTCCTCTTCAATGGCTGTGTGAAGTTGCTGGATATTGGCGGGAACTGGAACATGCTGTCAATCCAGAGCATCCCAAACATGCTCAATGGGTGACATGTGTGGTGAGTTTGCAGGCCATGGATGAACTGGGTCATTTTCAGCTTCCAGGAATTGTACAGATCCTTGCTACATAGTGCCGTGCATTATCATGCTGAAACATGAGGTGATGGCGGCGGATGAATGGCATGACAATGGGCCTCAGGATCTCGTCACGGTATCTCTGTGCATTGAAATTGCCATTGATAAAATGTAATTGTGTTCATTGTCCGTAGAAATACGTTTTTTGTGAGTATGGAAAGTTTCTGGGATTTTTTATTTCACCTCATGAAACATGGGACCAACACTTTACATGTTGCACTTATATTTTTATTCATTATAGTTGTACAATGGAGATATTCTACACAATATTTAGACCTATAAAATGTAATTTTAGTTTGCTGGATCACCCTTAACCCCACTGCAGCCTGTCATGTTAAACAGGCTGTGTTATTATATATGGTCATATCAACAGTAAATATGAGACAGACAGGGCCTATTTTATACGTTAGCCTTGGGACCATCCCCAGCTTCAGTATGTGGCAATAGACTGAGACAAATAGCTCAATTTCTGAGTGCCACCATAATATCACAGAGAGAGAGCCCTTGAGAAAGTAATGGAACTATTCTACAGCCTGAGGGGCCATTACCTAGCCTGAAGGGCCATTACCTAGCCTGAGGGGCCATTACCTAGCCTGAGGGAGCATTACCTAGCCTGGGGGGCCATTAGTTTGGGGCATGCTCTGAGGCATATTTTCAGGAGCAAACTGCCTGCCTGCCTGCCTGCCTGCCAGCCTGCCAGCCAGGAAGAAAACAGAGAAAGTAAACCAGGGTATTTGTTTTATGAATAACAAAGTGTTTGTCGATGCTCCATTATAAATGTCCTTATTCATTCTGAATAAACTCATTTAGATGAGTCGCGCTCCAAGCCTCAGGGTTAACCTAGTCACTTATCCTACTGATGAGGCCATCACACTGAAATTATTATTATTATTATATAATTTTTCTGAAGTGGAACTGGTTGTTTGAAGGCTGAGATTTCCCTGAGTGGCCCAAATATTCTGACTTTGATTTGTGTTAAAGTGTTTTGGGTGTAGATGTCTGACACAGCCTGTGTGTATGTCTCCCCTTCCACCCCTCCACCTCCACCTTTCCAGACAGGACCAGTGTGTTCAACATGACCCGCAGCCCTCACCCTGGGGTGGGCAGGATGGAGTGGATCGTCCCTCTGGTGGTGGTCTCAGCCCTCACCCTGCTCTGCCTCATCATGCTACTAGCTGTCCTGGTCTACTGGAGGTATTATATATTACATTATATTATTATATTACTGGGTTACTAACCCTAACCCCTACTGACCCCTGGTGGTGGTTTCAGCCCTCACCCTGCTCTGCCTCGTCATGCATGCTAGGTGTGTGTGCATTTTCCAGACCCCACCATGTAAAAAAAGTTATGTAATCAAAGGCCAATATTTACCTTTTTAATTGGGGCTATGGCAGTCTATTACAATTCAGTTTAACAGTAGTTTTAACAGTATTTCAATCTGAAGGAAGTATGCCTTCAGAAAGTATTCACACCTCTTGACTTTTTCCACATTTTGTGTGTTACAGCCTGAATTTAAAATGGTTTAAATTAGTTTTTTTTTTGTGTCACTGACCTACACACAGTAAGTACCCCATAATGCCAAAGTGGAATTATGTTTTTTGAAATTTTTACTAATTAATAAAAAATAAAAAGCTGAAATGTCTTGAGTAAATACGTATTCAACCCCTTAGTTATGGCAAGCCTAAAAAAGTTCAGGAGTAAAACATTTCTTAATAAGTCACATCATTCGTTGCATGGACACTCTGTGTTCAATAATATTGTTTAACATGATTTTTTAATTACTACCTCATCTCTGTACCCCACACATAACATTTTCTGTAAGGTCCCTTAGTCGAGCAGTGAATTTCAAAAACATATTCAACCACAAAGACCAGGGAGGTTTTCCAATGTTGATGGGTAAAAATAAAAAAGCAGACATTGAATAACCCTTTGTGCATGGTGAAGTTATTAATGACGCTTTGGATGGTGTGTCAATACACCCAGTCACTACAAAGATAAAGGCAGTTGCCGGAGTGGAAGGAAACAGCTCATGGATTTCACCATGTGGCCACTTTAAAACGGTTACAAAATGTAATGACTGTGATAGGAGAAAACAAAACATGCATCCTGTTTGCAACAACGCAGTAAAGTAATACTGCAAAAAATTTGGCAAAGCAATTAACTTTTTGTCCTGAATACAAAGTGTTATGTTTGGGGCAAATCCAATACATTACATTACTCTCCATATTTTCAAGCATAGTGGTGGCTGCAACATGTTATGGGTATACTTGTAATCGTTAAGGACTGGGGAGTTTTTCAGGATAAAAAAGAAACGGAATGGAGCTAAGCACAGGCAAAATCCTAGAGGAAAACCTGGTTCAGTTTGCTTACCAACAGACACTGGGAGATTAATTCACCTTTCAGCAGGACAATAACCTCTTGGGGTATGTCTCTATAAGCTTGGCACATCTAGCCACTGGGATTTTTGCCCATTCTTCAAGGCAAAACTGCTCCAGCTCCTTCAAGTTGGATGGGTTCCGCTGGTGTACAGCAATCTTTAAGTCATACAACATATTCTCAATTGGATTGAGGTCTGGGCTTTGACTAGGCCATTCCAAGACATTTAAATGTTTCCCCTTAAACCACTAAAGTGTTGCTTTAGCATTATGCTTAGGGTCATTGTCCTGCTGGAAGGTGAACCTCCGTCCCAGTCTCAAATCTCAGGAAGACTGAAACAGGTTTCCCTCAAGAATTTCCCTGTATTTAGCGCCATCCATCATTCCTTCAATTCTGACCAGTTTCCCAGTCCCTGCCGATGAAAAACATCCCCACAGCATGATGCTGCCACCACCATGCTTCACTGTGGGGATGGTGTTCTCGGGGTGATGAGAGGTGTTGGGTTTGCGCCAGACATAGCGTTTTCCTTGATGGCCAAAAAGCTCAATTTTAGTCTCATCTGACCAGAGTACCTTCTTCCATATATTTGGGAAGTCTCCCACATGCCTTTTGGCGAACACCAAACGTGTTTGCGTATTTTTTTCTTTAAGCAATGGCTTTTTTCTTGCCACTGTTCCGTAAAGCCCAGCTCTGTGGAGTGTACGGCTTAAAGTGGTCCTATGGACAGATACTCCAATCTTCGCTGTGGAGCTTTGCAGCTCCTTCAGGGTTATCTTTGGTCTCTTTGTTGCCTCCTTGCCTGGTCCGTGAGTTTTGGTGGGCGGCTCTATCTTAGCAGGTTTGTTGTGGTGCCATATTCTTTCCATTTTTTAATAATGGATTTAATGGTGCTCCGTGGGATGTTCAAAGTTTCAGATATTTTTTTAGAATCCAACCCTGATCTGTACTTCTCCACAACTTTGTCCCTGACCTGTTTGGAGAGCTCCTTGGTCTTCATGGTGCCGCTTGCTTGGTGGTGCCCCTTGCTTAGTGGTGTTGCAGACTCTGGGGCCTTTCAGAACAGGTGTATATATACTGAGATCATGTGACAGATCATGTGACACTTAGATTGCACACAGGTGGAATTTATTTAACTAATTATGTGACTTCTGAAGGTAATTGGTTGCACCAGATCTTATTTAGGGGCTTCATAGCAAAGGGGGTGAATACATATGCACGCATCACTTTTCCGTTATTTATTTATTTATTTTTTATTCACCAATTTGGACTATTTTGTGTATGTCCATTACATGAAATCCAAATAAAAATCAATTTAAATTACAGGTTGTAATGCAACAAAATAGGAAAAACACTAAGGGAGATGAATACTTTTGCAAGGCACTGTAAAACACAAGGCCAAATCTAACCTGGAGTTGCTTACCAAGAAGACAGTGAATGTTCCTGAGTGGTCGAGTTACAGTTTTGACTTAAATCTACTTGAAAATCTATGGCAAGACCTGAAAATGGTTGTCTAGTAATGATCAACAACCAATTTGACAGAGCTTGAATAATGTTTTTAAGAATAATGGGCAAATGTTGCACAATCCAGGTGTGGAAAGCTCTTAGAAACTTACCCAGAAAGACTCACAGCTGTAATCACTGCCAAAGCTGCTTCGACAAAGTATTGACTCAGGGATGTGAATATGTTTTCACTTTGTTATTATGGGGTATTGTGTGAAGATGGTTGAGAATGTTTTCTAATTTTATCCATTTTGAATTCAGGCTGTTACACAACAAAATGTGGAATAAGTCCAGGTGTATGAATACTTTCTAAAGGCACTGTACGTGTTTCTTTTAGTGATGGGATCATAATATTTTGTATCTTAAACAGTTCAAAAGATAGAGCCACATTTGTAGGAAGAAAACAGAGACCGCTCTGTTTAATACAACCTCATCTTTTCTCTCGCGACCACATTTCCAAATCAGGCGACCCCACATGGTGTCGCGACCCCTAGTTTGGGGAATAGCTCAGAAGAATTGTAGTACATTAACATATGTTTGATTTGCCACTATACGACAATCGAAGCCTTGTTGTCATGCATTCCTCTCCTCCACTTCCAGTGATAAGAGGCCCCTTTTATTTCCCCATCCCCACTGCTCTGCTCAGTCACAGCTGTCCATTAACCCTCTGTAACCACAGATACAGATAGCCCTCCTACCTAATCACACTGGCTCTTGACCCTAGCTGTCCTCACAGACACATACTCCTGTTGAGAGTGGGGTGACCTGTCCTCTTGTCCCCTGAGGAGTTTTCGGCCCATCTGCTGTTCTTTCCTGTGTGTGTGTGCGTTTCTGCATGCTGCTGGCCACCAGGAACCTACTGGGTGGAGGATGACTGGTATTTTGGCAGCCTTCCTTCCCTCCCTCTCTCCTCCTTCCCCTCCCTCCCTCTCTCCTCCCCCTCCCTCCCTCCATCCTCCCACCCCCCCCCTCTCTCCTCCCCCCTCCCTCCCTCACTCTCTCCTCCCCCCTCACTCCCTCCCTCTCTCCCCCCCCCCTCCTTCCCTCTCTCCTCCCCCTTTCCTCCCTCCCTCTCTCCTCCCCCTCCCTCTTCTCCCCCCCTCCCTCCCCCCTCCCCCATCGCTCCCTCTCTCCTCCCCCCTCCCTCCCTCTCTCTCCTCCCCTCCCCTCCCTCCCTCCCTCTCTCCTCCCACTCTCCTACCCCTCCCTCCCTCCCCCTCCCTCACTCCTCCCCTTCCTCTCTCTCTCTCCTCCCCTTCCTCATCTCTCTCTTCCCTCTCCCTCCCTCCTCCCCTTCCTCCCTCTCTCCTCCCCCTTCCCCCTCCCTCCCTTTTCCCTCTCTCCCTCCCTTCTTCCTCTCTCCCTCACGCTCTCCTCCCCCTTCCTCCTCCCTCACTCCCTTCCTCCCTCCTCCCACATCGTTTTCACACTCCTCTCTGCAGGGGGGCCAGCCAACAGGGGCCATGGGGCCGGGAGAGGGCCCAGCTGTGTGTTCATCTGCAGTGTGATGCCAATCTCACACACACACACACACACACACACACACACACACACACAAACACAGACACACACACACTTTCTCTCAGCCTCAGTAATTCCACAGGCCAGGCTAACAGCTGGCTGCATGTGCTGCCTAATGAGCTATACAGCACAATGGGATCATTACTAGAGCTCTGTGTTTAATGCTTTATATATTTATGCAACTCTGCCTTGAGCTGTTTCATAGAAGCAAAGGCTTGGCCCGATTTGACAGATTATTTTAGAATTTTACCACCTCATAGTGTGTGTGTACATTGCTAGACATGACTGCCTTGTTGACCTGATAGCCAGCGAGGTCAGACAAGTAGTCTCACCAACAGCACACATGCATAAACATTGTTGTGTAAGGGGAAGTTGGTTTGATGTTGATGATGATGTGTTTTTCTGTGTACCAAATACGCCAGATATTGTTGTTGTGGGGGGAGGCCAGGGGGAGGTGCTCATTTTGGAAGTGACTTCATGGATTCATGGAGCAGGCCTTTGCCGAGAAGCTGCTTAAATATCAGCCCCTTGTGGCACGCTTGGACAGCCTCGGGTGTAGGTGCAAGTGTGTGGGTAGTCCATTGAGTATGCAAGAGACTCAGTGCAAAAAAAGGTCAATGGCAAATAGTCCGGGTAGCCATTTGATTAACTGTTCAGCATTCTTATGGCTTGGGGGTAGAAGCTGTTCAGGAGCTTTTTGTTCCCAGACTTGGCACTCCGGTACCGCTTGCCGTGCGATAGGAGAGTGAACAGTCTATGTATGGCTTGGGTGGCTGGGGTCTTTGACAATTTTCC